ACAGGAGCCCAACGCCGCTTTTCCCTTTAAAATCATATCCTTTAACAAGACGTTCTATGTCTGCCTGCGTCAGGTGCTCAAAATCGTCCGGGTTATCGGTGAAGACCGACTTGGGAAACTTCTTACTATTGGCCTTTGCCGTTACGTCTATGTCGTAATGTACTTCATTGCGATCCACATACTTGGCAACGTCAAATTTCTTCTGTTCGCTCAGGAAAAGATCATTCCAGGACGGCACATATTTATCGCGCAACTCAGCTTCTGAGATTTTCCCGGCATCCTTCCATTGCGTGGCGGCCCCGATCACACGCAGCTGTGAAAAATCCATACCCAGCCAGGTGATTTCTTCTCCGCTTTTCAGTATACTTTCACTCTTTCCTTTTTGAGCAAAACCAATCATGGTAAGGCAACAGGCAAATGCAACCAGTAAGATCTTTTTCATTGTTGTTTGGCTTTTAAGATGCTGTTTGTAAGAATATTTTAAGCTCGCAGGTTGCAATGATACGCGTACCGCATGTTACTCTTGCCTGTACAATATGTGCGTTCATGACCTGTGTTACAAAAGTAACTTCCGTTATAATTCTTTCTCCTATGCCTGGCAGCTCATTAACAATTAAATTTTTCAGTGCGCCGATAAAGCCTACCGGTGGCGTCAGCCCTTGCTGCTGCGCGGTAAAGCCGGTGCCTGCGGCCGCTGTCTGTGCCATATTTTCCACCAGGCCCGCTTCTGTAAAACGACCGTCCTTTACTAAAAGATGGCCTTCACGTATGGTAAAGCCCGACCTGATGTTTACCTCATCGGCCTGTATCAGCTCATCGATCATTACAAACGGCGGGCGCTGTGGGAGATACGCTACAACAGATTCCTGTGTCATGGGGTTGCTTTCCAAAAATCGTAATAATTAAACCATTGATCGGGATATAACTTTACCTGTTCTTCCAGGTGCAGGATAAAGTCGTCCAGCATCGCTTCAGCACCTGTAGTACCACGCCCTTCATAGATCTTTGGCGGATAAGATACATACCGGTAATCCGTGTCCGACACCTTGAATGTAAACGTAAACAGCGCACGTGCCTTCAGCTTCGAGGCAAGGATAAAAGGCCCTGCCGGAAAGTGCGCTTCTTCGCCCAGGAACTTACGGACAAAGGTCCGGTTACCGGGCCGGAACCGGTCGGCATGGATACATACAAGCTCATTACGCCGCAAGGCAGCATTGATATCGTAAA